CCTTCCCACTAAGTTGGAGCATGTGCATGTAAATTTTGGTGGAAATCCGTCGAAAATTGCGGCCATGCATTCGTTACACACACACACACACACACACACACACACACACACACACACACACACACACACACACACACACACATCCTGCCTTTTATAGATAGAGATACGGAAGAATGCTGAGAATGCCATAGACCAATGTTTCGCTTTTTTTTTTTTTACCATGGCAGCATTTTTGGAATGGAAACTTGCACGCGTCTCATCAAAAGGAAGTCCCGGTGAAAAGGCACAAACAGTTCAGCGGCGAAGATGGTCCTGAATGAGTTTTAAAAGGAGATAACCGCGTATTCGAACTCAGACCATTATCATCGATAACTTTCCCTTCCAATTTCCGGAGCCTACTGACTATATCCTTAATACTTGATATAATACAAAAATATCACAATGATAAAATCAGTCAATAATTACTAATAATTATTTATACTAGGACTCATGCATTTTTTTACAAGTGATCCATAATAATATTTTAAATTTTAAAATCATATCTATTTTTGGCATATGAATTTAAAAAAAAAACTGTTTCTAAATCTTTGTCTTTCAATCATTTCGCTTCACTGTTTGGGAAGTATTGACTTAGACCAGAGCAACTGAAGAGAGCTGACATTAGATCATAATATTCCTGATTTGGGTTGGGATTGGAAAATGGAACTACTTTGACAGGACCTCAACAGGTAGCATGGATTTGACAAAGTTAACTGAACAGAGACCTCTTTTTCTGTAATCTCTGCAAATAATTTTCTTTCTCGTATCTTTTTTATCCTGTCTGCTTTCCAAAATGATAATGCCCTGTACTAAAAGTATTAATACTTTTCCTTTAGATTATCAAGATAAGAATGCCTACTAAAAGAGAAGAAAGTGGAATAATTATACCAAATCAATCGTTAAGTTTGTTGCTAGGAAAGTTGGTTTACTGTGTTGTACTAATCACTTTTTCTCGCCAGATTCTATTTTACATGTTTATAAGTCTACCACTCATCCATGTGTTGAATATTGCTGTCACATCTAGCCTGATGCTTCTGCTAAATATCTAGAGATTCTTGACAATATCCAAAGAAGAATCTGCAATGTTATCAGTCCTGACCTGGTATCTTGGCTTCACTTACTTTCCTAGCATCATAATGTAGCATCCCTGTTCTTATAAATTCATAAATATTTACATGCTAATCGTTTTGATGAGCTTACCTCTTGGTATCTTGACTTTACAAATTGAAGTGCAGTACTAGGTTGGCAGTTACGTCTCATCGTTTTACTGTTGAAATTGCTAGATGTAACTGTGAGTTCCATGCCAATAGTTTCTTCTCTCAGACATCTTTGTGGAACTCATCTGGCTTCTTGCTTTCCTGTAAACTATGATTTTCAAAAATTTAAATGCAACATCAATCATCATCTTCTGTCTACTTGAATCCTGTTCTTTTATTGTTATTCTTACTCAGAAACCTCTTCTCAGTTTTTTTTTCACTCTCAGTAACCCCTTGCATCTTAGTAGCCTTATCACTTTTGTTGTGGGTTGAAAACAAAAGGAAGTACAACTAATAAAAGTATTTGTTTTAAACTTCTTATTTTTATTTCAGTTAATTTTTTCTAACATCTTATTTTTAAAGAATTATTATAATATATTCATTAATATAGCCTTATCAAGGAGAGTTGTGATCAAAGTAGTATATTTAGTAGCATAACATAATTAAAGGAAAATGACGTTTTAGAATCACAAGTCTAAGGGCATGTGTCAGGATGCTGAAGTGGATTTTACCAGGCAATGGATATACAAACTGGCCAGTGTTGTGTATAAAAATGTTCAACCTTCTCAACACTAATTGTTGAACATGGAGTTGTTTATCCTCCATGAGTAGAACATCTGCTCATAGGAACGGTCGTTACAAAGTGGGTTGCAAGGCATAGTGTATATTTAATTTTATGTACAAATTGAAGTGCAGTATTAGATTTTTGGGGCCTAGTTACGATAATCTTAATTCTGGAAATCATACAAAAATATCACAATGATAAAATCGGTCAATAATTATTTATACTGGGACTCGTGCATTAAATTACAAGTAATCCATAATGATAACTTAAATTTCTGACATCATATTTATATTTGGTATATGAATTATTTCAAACTGTTTCTAAATCTTTGATTGTCTTTCTATACATCAGACTCATCTGTAAGACACGTCCGCCGCTCTTCTGAGGCGCTCCGTACGTTTTCGGAACCACTGCCGTAGACGGAGCCTATGAACAAAGAAGTATTTTCTATCGCCTATTCGGAAGCAAAAATAATGAAAAACTTATTAGATTTGGCCAAAGTTTTAGCCGGAAATTTAGTCAAAATAAAAAAAGGAAATGTTTAAAATCAGAATAAAGACGTTTAAAATTCAATTATCCAGTCATTGTTGTAACAGGCGATGAAAAAGGTGACACAAAAATCCGAAAACGTATAAGAATAATGAAAGATGCCTTTCAGAAGCTAAGCAATATTTTATGTTTTTCTATCTATTTATCTATCTATCTATCTATCTATCTATCTATCTATCTATCTATCTATCTCAATCTGTACATCTATCTATCTTTCTATCTATCAATTAATCAATCTATCATTCTATTTGTTTTTCTCGATTTTTTTCGTATTACTGTCTACCCATCTGTTCGTATCTATCTATCTATCTATCTATCTATCTATCTATCTATCTATCTATCTATCTATCTATCTCAGTCTGTACAACTATCTGTCTATCTATTTTATTCTGTTTTTAATATCTATCTATCTATCTATCTATCTATCTATCTATCTATCTGTGTTTTAATATCTATCTATCTAAGTCAGTACAACTATCTGTCTATCTATTTTATTCTATTTTTAATATCTATCTATCTATATATCTGTGTTTTAATATCTATCTATCTATCTAAGTCAGTACAACTATCTATCTATCTATTTTATTCTGTTTTTAATATCTATCTCTTTCTCTCTCTCTCTCTCTATCTATCTATCCATCTGTGTTTTAATATCTATCTATCTATCTATCTATCTATCTATCTATCTATCTATCTATCTCAGTCAGTACATCTATCTATCTATCTATCTATCTATCTATCTATCTATTTTATTCTGTTTTTAATATCTATCTATCTATCTATCTACCTATCTATCTATCTACCTATCTATCTATCTATCTATCTATCTATCTATCTATCTATCTATCTATCTACGTATGTGGTACTCATTTCCACTATCTATTCTATATATTGTGGAACAGACCCCCAACGGAATACTCCCTCGATCGCTACAATCTTAACCTCTTCAAGCATAGGTTCAGCCGTTATCTATCCTACATATCCTCCTACTTATCACTTCTCACTCTTACACACTTACAATAATCTCAATCGGTAAGAGATTCTTGGTAGTCCAAGCCTCTTGGGCCTTGTAATGGGTTAACATTTATTAAAATCGAAAAACAATCTTTACTACTGCGTTTGATAGGAAAGTCACAAACGTTGCTTAGAGCTAAATGAAAAATTAGGAATTGGTAGAGAGTAAGGATCACCCACGATCCTGAAGTGTCTCATAAAAGAAGTAGAATGCCGACACATAACAGCTCATCACCCTAACCCATATCAGGTCCATCAAGAGCGTTGAGTGCTCTATCTTTCTAAATCCCAACCTTTTTTATTTCCCCCCTCTCAGCGTCAATGTCACCCCCTCATACCGTGTTCCATTTGGTGTCTGCGTTTTTTCGTCTTTAATATTTTTTTTTTTTTAAGCCATCGTTAAGTGTTTAGAAGCAAAGATAACGGCACCCGAAGTATTTCGAAAGACAATGTCAACATTTGGTGGATTTGCTTTCAACATTATAAATAAGACGGCTCCCCCAAAAAACACAAGGTGATACACATGGCGGGTGTATGTAAATGCGTTTTGTTTACAAATACGCACATTCGTTTACATAAACATGCGGGGCAGACACCCGTATACACTGGCGCTCAAACGTGTCACGACACGAGTAAAATGACACTACTGCCGTCTCGAGTAAAAGTCGACCACCTTAAGAGACAGGAAATTGTTGAAAATAAAGAAAAAAGTCAATGCTGGAGATATGGTCCTACTGATGAATGGCGTCATATATGGCAGTATAAGGTGGGCAATCGCTTCACGGCTGAAAAAAATGCTTGGAACAGCATACAATTAAGAGTAACCTACCAAATAAGATCTTGTAAATTGTTGGCAGAACACATGGTCTGAGTGAGACGGTCAGGCGCTGGGATTGCTTAGAGTTATAAAAGACAGAAGGTTGTCGACTGCCGTATGACTGTCCACGACTTGAAGAGACATAAAAGAAGAACATGTAAAGGATGTGTGGAAAATGCCGGCAATGTCGAATCGGCGATCTGTGTATTTATGCTTATTTGTCTGACTGTCTGACTCTTTGTCGGTCTATCTATCAATCTATCTTTCAATATGTGTTTTAACATCTATCTGATTGTATTTTAATATCTATCTATCTATCTATCTATCTATCTAAGTCTGTACATCTATCTCTTTATCTATCAATCAATTAATCAATCTATCTTTCTATTTGATTTTCTCGATTTGTTCGTATTACAGTCCCCGCATCTGTTCGTTTCTATCTATCTACCTATCTGTCGCTCTCAGTTTGTACATCTATCTATCTATCTATCTATCTATCTATCTATCTATCTATCTATCTATCTATCTATCTATCTTATTCTGTTTTTAATATCTATCTATCTATCTATCTATCTATCTATCTATCTATCTGTCGCTCTCAGTTTGTATCTATCTATCTATCTATCTATCTTTCTATCTATCTATCTATCTATCTTGGTCTGTTCTATTTATCTTATTTATCTATCTATCTATCTATATCTATCTATCTATCTATTCTGTTTTTTTAATATCTATCTATCTATCTATCTATCTATCTATCTATCTATCTATCTTATTCTGTTTTTAATATCTATCTATCTATCTATCTATCTATCTATCTTATTCTGTTTTTAATATCTATCTATCTATCTATCTATCTATCTTATTCTGGTTTTAATATCTATCTATCTATCTATCTATCTATGTGGTACTGTTTTTAATATCTATCTATCTATCTATCTATCTATCTATCTTATTCTTTTTTTATTTAATATCTATCTATCTATCTATCTATCTATTCATCTATTTTTAATTTTCTATCTATCTATCTATCTATCTATCTATCTATCTATCTTTCTAGCTATCTTATTTTATTTTTAATATCTATCTATCTATCTATCTATCTATCTATCTTATTCTGTTTTTAATATCTATCTATCTATCTATGTGGTACTGTTTTTAATATCTATCTATCTATCTATCTTATTTTGTTTTTAATATCTATCTATCTATCTATCTATCTATCTATATATCTATTTTATTCTATTTTTTTAATATCTATCTATCTATTATTCTGTTTTTATCTATCTATCTATCTATCTATCTATCTATCTATCTACTATTTTTTAATATTTATCTATCTATCTATCTATCTATCTATCTATCTATCTATCTATCTATCTTATTCTGTTTATAATATCTATCTATCTATCTATCTATCTATCTTATTCTGTTTTTTAATTTTAATATCTATCTATCTATCTATCTATCTTATTTTATTTTTTTTATCTATCTATCTATCTATCTATCTTATTCTGTTTATAATATCTATCTATCTATCTATCTATCTATCTATCTTATTATTCTTTTTAATAATATCTATCTATCTATCTATCTATCTATCTATCTATGTGGTACTTTTTTAATATCTATCTATCTATCTATCTTATTATTTTTTTTTAATATTAATATCTATCTATCTATCTATCTATCTATCTATCAGTATAAGCTAGACAATCGCCTCACGGATGAAAAAGATGCTTGAAACAGCATACAGCTTATTCTGTCGGCGAATTTCATCAGAAACAACGAAAAGGCTGCAAAAATTCTGTGTATTAATATTTCTTCTGATTTCTGCCATGTACGCATTTCTTTTCCGAGTCCCGCCCAGTGACCTAAGGTCAGAAATGGCATCATGGCATTTTCTACTGAGCAATTAAAAAAAAAAATACAAATACATCCACACAAATATTTTACATAGATAAAGCCCTTCGTAAGGTGTGGGCTTTACTCGTGAGAACATTCTTTTGTATTTCTTTAAAGCATAGACTTCCAGGAATCCCTTCACTGAATCTACTGGAATCTTTTTCCAACCAATCCGGGGGTTCCAAATATAACAGGGATTGTCGATGTTCCCATGTGCCACATTTTTGAGATTTCGATTTCAAGGTCCTTGTATTTTGACAGCTTTTTGAAGATCTTCAAAGATACATTGCAGTCTGCAGGGGATGCCATATCAATAAGGAGGCAATTTTTTGGTTTGCTGTCTCTAAAGAATAATGTCTGGGCGGTTAGCACTATTATTATTATTATTATTAGTAGTAGTAGTAGTAGTAGTAGTAGTAGTAGTATCATTATTATTAATGTTGTTTTATTTCCCTTGATTTTTGGTGTGTACACATTTCTTTCCGGGTCCCCGTTCCCAAGAGACCTAAGGCCAGAAATGGCGTTATGACATTTTGCACTGACCAATTAAAACACACACACACACACACAAACACACACATATACACACACATTTTACATAGATAAAGCCTTCGTAAGTTGTGGGCTGTACTCGTGACAACAATTTTTTTTGTATTTCTTTAAGTCATGGGCTTCCAGGAATCCCTTCAATGTTCCTGGAATCTTTTTCCCATCAATCCGAGGGCTCCAACTACAACAGAGATTGTTGATATTCCCGTCTCCCTCATTTTTGAGATTTCGATTTCAAGGTCCTTGTATTTTGATTGTTTTTTGAAGATCTTCAAAGATACATTGCAGTCTGCAGTCATTGCCATATCAATAAGGAGGCACTTTTTTTGCTTGTGGTCTCTAATAACAATGCCTGGGCGGTTAGCACTATATTATTATTATTATTATTTTTATTATTATGAGTAGTAGTAGTAGTATTATTTCCTTTAATTTCTGGTGTATACTCATTTCTTCCCGGGTCCCAATCAGAGACCTAAGGTCAGAACTGGCATCATTACATTTTCTACTGAGTAATTTAAAAAAAAAAACAAATTGAGATCACACACATTTTACATAGATAAAGCCCTTAGTAAGTTGTGAGCTGTACTTGTGAATACAATTTCTTGTATTTCTTTAAGGCTTGGATTACCAAGATTCTCTTCATCAAGTTTATCGGAAGCTTTTGAAATGAATCCGAGAGTTCCAAATACAACTAGAATTATTGATGACCTGATATGCCACATTTTTTGAGATTTCGATTTCAAGTATCAAAATGTATTTTGATAGTTTTTTGAAGATCTTCAAAGATATATTACAGTGAGTAGGGACTGTCATATCAATAAGAAAGCACATTCTGTTTTTGCGGTCTCTGATCACGATGTCTGGGTGACTAGATTTGATTGTTCTCTCCATGTGTATTGCAAATTCCCATAAAAGTGTAACAGAGTCTGGGTAGTGTGCCTGCCAATTACCGGGTCTGGTTGGAGGTCCATTGCAATTTTTATTATTATTATTATTATTATTATTATTATTATTATTATTATTATTATTATTATTTTATTTCATTTGATCTCTGGTGGATACTCATTTCTTTCCGGGTGCCGACCAAAGACCAAAGGTCAGAAATGCCATCATGTCATTTTTCAGTGAGAAGCTTTGAAAAAAATCACACATATTTTACATAAAGATCTTCGTAAGGTGTGGGCATACTTATGAAAACATTTTTTTTTGTCTTTCTTTAAGGCATGTGCTACCAGGAATCCCTTCAAAGAGTCTACTGGAATATTTCCCAATCAATCCGAGGGCTCCAACTACAACGGGAATTGTTGATGTTCCCATGTGCCACATTTTTGGAGATTTCGATTTCAAGGTCTTTGTATTTTGATAATTTTTTTTTTGAAGATCTTCAAAGATATGTTACAGTCTGCAGGGACTGCAATGTCAGTAAAGAGGCACATTCGGTCTTTGCGGTCATTAATCCCGATGGGGTCTTGGTGATGAGCTTTTATTCTTCTGTCTGTGTGTCTTGTAAAGTCCCATAAAATGTTAGAAGTCCTATCTCCGTAACTGGGTCTGGATGATGCTCATTCTTGCAGTTTTATTTCCGTAAAATTTGCAGATTTTCCATTGCAAATATTGGCCCACTCTGTCGTGCCGTGTTTTATATTCAGTGGGTGCCAATACCGCGCAACCTGATACAAGATGGTCAATTGTTTCTAGGTATATATCATAAAACCTGCATTTGTGACTAACACAGTTTTTAAATGTGTGTGTTTGGTAATTTCTAGTTAGCAAGCATTGGTTCTTTGCAGCAATTATTATTATTATTATTATTATTATTTGTGTATCTTATGTTTCCTGCTTTGTATCCTGTAGAGCTGGGTCCAAACTATTGTCCTTAGCCCCCATAGGAGAATTGTCATTTAATTGATAGCACTTTACCTAGTATATGGGACGTTCTTAGTAGGGTGATCTTCCTGCAACTTGTATGCTGATGTTATCTGGGACACTTTTAGCAAAATTGTCTATTCCTTTTCTGACGAGTCCCAGAGCTCCGATTATTATTGGTACAGTCTCAAGCATTGGTTCTGTGCAGTATAATTATTATTATTATTATTATTATTATTATTATTATTATTTGTGTATGTTTCCTGCTTTGTATCCTGTAGAGCTGGGTCCAAACTATGGTCCTTAGGCCCTAAGGAAGAATTGTCATTTAATTGATAGCACTTTACCTAGTATATGGGACGTTCTTAGTAGGGTGATCTTCCTGCAACTTGTATGCTGATGTTATCTGGGACACTTTAATAAAATTGTCTATTCCTTTTCTGACGAGTCCCAGAGCTCCGATTATTATTGGTACAGTCTCAAGCATTGGTTCTGTGCAGCAATTATTATTATTATTATTATTATTATTATTATTATTTGTGTATGTTTTCCTGCTTTGTATCCTGTAGAGCTGGGTCCAAACTGTGGTCCTTAGTAGCTATAAGAGAATTGTCATTACCTAGTATATGGAACGTTCTTATTTCCTCAAGGACACATGGCACAGGGGATAAAGCTGTTAGATCCAGTACAGGACCCAAAGAGTGTGAATTCAATACCTGGTTAATGCAGTGGTTAACTAGGAGAGGGGAATTAACAGAAGATAACTGATAACTGACATCCATTAAACATGGCACGTGAAACTAGAACAGTCTACCCCAGTGAGCGAAATAAAGGGTTCAGTTTGACATTCCAACCACCTGAAGAAGGCCGGAGCGTACAACGAGCGAAACGTTGTAATAAATATGGCGACAAAGATGAGGACAATAGTCCGAATAATGTAAATAGTATACATAATACCTCATCTCAGAAATATAAACAGATAGTGAAGGGCCGAAACGTTGTAATAAATATGGCGACAAAGATGAGGACAATAGTCCGAATGATGTAAATAATGTACATAATACCTCATCTCAGAAATATAGACAGATAGTGAAGGGCCGAAACGTTGTAATAAATATGGCGACAAAGATGAGGACAATAGTCCGAATAATGTAAATAATGTACACAATACCTCATCTCAGAAATATAGACAGATACTGAAAGGCCGAAACGTTATAAAAAATATGGCGACAAAGATGAGGACAATAGACCGAATAATGTAAATAATGTACATAATACCTCATTTCAGCAATATAGACAGATCAATGAAGTCCATCACAATGATAACCATTAATTTAGTATTTAGCCTTTTTTTTATATTATGATTCTGATGTTGTATAATTAAGTGTATGTTATTAATTATATTAAATAGTCAGTATGGGTGTGTGGCCGATTTCGCTTTCTGACTATGATACCCGGGTTCGAATATCACTACGGTTGATTTTTCAGGAAGTAGACCTCCTGATGAAATCGTT